GTGGTGGGGTGGGGGTGGGGGCTTCAGGGACCAAAATAGGGCCAGAAGGTGGGGGCCTCCAATACCCCACATTAAATTGGGACTTTATCACGTAAGCTCTGGGGAGACAGGGAAGGTTGGATTTTTGTTTGTTTTGCTTGAGACAGGATCTCTCTCTGTCGCCCAGACTGGAATGCGGTGGCTTGATCACAGCTCACTGCAGTCTCGACCTCCTGGGTTCAAGTGGTCCTCCCGCCTCCGCCTGCCAAGTAGCTAAGAGGTGCGCGCCACCACCCTCGGCTATTATTTTATTTTACTTTTTTTTTTTTTTTTAAATAGAGACGAGGTTTTGCCATGTTGCCCAGACTGGTCTCCAACTTCTGGAATCAAGCAATCCTCCCGCTTGAGCCTCCGAAAGTGCTGTGATTGCAGGCGTGAGCCACCGCGCCGAGCTTAGGTTGAGCAGCGACAGGGACAGGGCCCAGTGCTTTCTCTGCGAGGTTCAGTCGTCCTGTCCCTCTCCTGTCACCGTCTGTCACCGTTTGGGGAGCGCCACGGAAGGTGCCAGGCAAGGCACTGACTCTAATCGAGAGGCGCACTCGTCGCCCTGGCAACGGAGTCCGGAAGAACCACAGAGACGCGGCTCCAGCGTACAGAGCGGCCGCCCTGGGCCAGCGAGGCACCGAGCGCTAGAGAGGCACGTCTAGCCTATTGTCACGTGGCCGGCCTCGGGAAGGCGGGACTTCCGGCGGCGCGGTATTTTTTTTCCGGTGGCTGGTCCTGGGCGGCCCCTCCCCGACTGGGCCCTGTGCCCCCCGCCCCCGCGGCCCCTCGCCGCCGGGCCAGCCGCCACCATGAAGAAATTCTTTCAGGAGTTCAAGGCCGACATCAAGTTCAAGAGCGCGGGACCCGGTCAGAAGCTCACAGAGTCCGTGGGGTGCGTGAGGAATGCAGTGGCGGCCGGGGAGAGGGGTCTGGGGCCTCGGACGGCTCGGGAGATCGGAGAGGGCGAGGGGCTGGGGAGCGGCAGCCGAGAGTCAGGGGAGGGGGAGAGGCTCCGGGGGCGGGGCAAGTGGGGCCGAG